TTAACACACTTTGATACCCAGTAGAATGTGTGATCGTTTTCCCCATTCCCCCTCCTTGAACTAATCATAAAAATAACAACAACAACAATAACAACAAACATATAACATGACCGGCTATAAATGCCACAGGCGATGGGCAGTAGTCAATAGCAATGCAGACCTATTATTTTCTCTTATTTCTTTTCTTATTTCCTAATACGTAGTAGGCAATTCCATAAAAGCGGAAACCATTAAAATGGTTTTACAAATTGCGTGTGTGTGAGTGTGTGTGTGATTGAGTGTGTGTGCAGCACGTTATTCTACTTCCTTTCTTGAACAAAAGCCGCTTAGGCGTTTCTTTGATTTAATAATGCGATGCGACAGAAACTTCCGGATCCAATGATCATGTTTAAAATCAAAGGACTTGTGTAGTATATATGAATATATATAAATAGCTATATACTAATATATACATTCGATGTATAAATAATTGATTTTTTATGGGGTGCCTCATGCATTTGTCACAAGTCAAAGAGGGTATTTGACCTTCATCATTGATTTAACTTTGCATACATGAACTAATTAAGCGGCTGTTCGTGTTGCTGGCCAAATAACAAAAAATAAGAGCAATACATAAAATAAAATAAGTGTACGAAATCTGGGGAGCAGGTAACTCAATACGCACGTTGCAACATGGAGCCACAAGCCACTGAACCATGGCAGATTGAAGATGAAAGAGGCAACTGTTGCTGCGTCTTTCAACATGGTAAAATTGCGGGGCAAGATGAAAAGTTGGTTCTTGTTGTTGTTGTCGGATGCTGGTGCTAGTTTATAAATCAAGTCACATTAAGTGTAATAATAAACGCAGATTGTTGCAGCCGTAGCCGGTTTTCAACAGCAACGGTGTGAGAATTGAATAAGTCATAAAAATAAAGGGAGGCAAGCGAATTTATTAAAGCGCTGAAAGCTCGAACGATACGATATATATTTATACTTATGAGGTTGCACGCAATTATGGAGGGCAGTCTAATGGCTCGACCACTTGCACAAATGACCAAAATGTACTACAAACAGCTAACAACGCTTATAGCCAACGCTTCAGAGGCAGAGAGAGAGAGAGAGAGAGAGAGAGAGAAAGAGGGGGAAAAACCGGCAGTATCTCTGACAATTTTGACAGTGACGGTGCAACAGCAGCGACAGTAGCAGCAGCCGTGTGGCAGTGGAAAGTAGGCAAGAAAGTCTTAGTCTGACTCCGAGTCTAAGCCAGTCAGTCGAGCCGAGGCTGTGGAGACCCACAATTTCCGCCATTTATGACAATCACAAATCGAGTTATACTCACACCGTACTTTCTAATTTCTAACGTAATTTTTTTTTGTGATGCTGACGTTTTGGCTTTTTTAATACCCTGTATGAGCAACAGGCAACAGGTAAAACATGTATAGTTGTTAGTTGCATTTAAAAGTATAATTTTGCTACACACATGTGTCCAATTATGTAAATACAACTAATTAAAGACACATTAATTAATTAACATGACTCAGCAAAGTTATTCGTGTTTAGTGCCCTTCTCTTCCCTTTACAGGGCATTTGAAAGTCGTGAATGCTTACATAATTTCTCGACATGATTTCTTGCCTTCTAACAAAACCAAAAAAAAGGGAAAATTTAGTTCTTGCTTGAACCACTTTTGTTTAGATAAATTTAGTTATTCTATGTTGCTTTTGGGAAGAACAGCAAAATATATTGAATATATTTTAGATCTGCAAAGAGTATTGAGTGTGCGGCACAGCGATGTTAACTGTTCTTTCTTGTTTCAAAGGATTTATGGCAGAACAGAATTAACTTGTTTCTAACGGGACAAACAAAGTGTGAATGATCATTTGTGCATGCTTTAATATTCCATTTACCCAAATAGAAAACAGCAAGCAAATGAATATAATTACGTCTTCTTCCAATATTGGTTGGAAATTTCTGCAGCTTTTATCGCGCACATTGTGCGCTAAACAGCAGCAGCAGCAGCAATGACGTTAAAAGCGACATTCCCCCTGCACTCACACACACATACACACAGTGGAAAAAGCTTCGGAGGCGGGAACATCTGGGGTCAGATTGAATGGCTGTGCTGTGTGGAATAACTGTAACGAAAGCATGGCTAAAGTTGCCAACAGGAAATTGATCTTGTTACTGGTCTTGTTGCTCGTTGCTTGTCAGCAGCCAACAAGATTTCCATTATTATGCATAGTCTTATAGGATTTTACATTCTTAATTTGTCACATATAGTTAAAAAAAATATATGTTTATTATTATGCTTCTTCTTCCTCTGCCTCTGCTGGTGATATGCCGTTGTCGTTTCCAAGGCGCGCCAATGCAAAAGCTGCTTTGTGAGAAAATTGTGCCCCAACCAACGGTAATAGGGAAGGCGCAGCAGTTGCAGTTGCCACCGCATCACTAACAGCAGCAGCATAAAGAAAGAAAGAGGTAAGCAAGAAAGTTGCAGTTGCACTTGCTGCATAGCCGACTATTCAATTATCTTTTGTCCATTTAAGTTGACTGATTCTAAAACTATAAAATTGCTTTCCGTTACTGGAAATTCGACATCGAACTAAATTCGAATTCGAGTTCAAGAGAAATGTTGCCAATTCCAGCTGCACAAAAAGCTCGCATACTTCACATACTCTATTTCCAGTTTCCAGTGTATAATAACTGAAAGTCCAAAGGAAAAGTGCGTGTTGCAATGCAACAAAGTAGCAGTGGCAAAGTGGTGTTGGCTGGACAGGAAAGTTTAAACTAGTTCTAGTTGCTGCCAACTGACGCCATAAACTGGGACACTTGTTGCGGCAAGTTGAACGTTCGTTCAATTGGATGGCATCGAAGATGACAGCAACAGCAATGCATACACCAACACGCATATACATTCAGTGGCAAATTCCAAGCTTCCCACGCAGCCACTTGGGAGTGGCAACCTAAATTGTCTTAATGGACCATAAAGCTGATATGCAGCAGCCGCGTTAAACTAAAATGCATTACAATTATAAGACACAACAACAACAACAACAGCAACAACAACAAGAAAAAAGCAACACACCGACGACGCATTCAGCGATGCTGCGTGATAAGCCCAAAAGGAAAAGAAAGTTTTCTTGCCCAGCAAATCGGTTTCATTGACAAACAAAACAAAAAACAGAAAAAAGCTCGTACAACGAACTTTACATAACTGTTGTTGTTGTTATTGCTGTGCTGGTTGCCTGCTGTTTTTAGCATTAGTCACACATTATCGATATACGCAAAGGACACTTAACATATATCTAACAGCAGCAACAACAACAGCAGCTGCAGTCGACACAACAGGTTAACAGGCTCTCTCCCTCTCGCTCCCTCTTTCTCTTTCTGTTTCTGTTTCTCCTTCTGCTTCGCTCGTATTGATTTGCTGCACATTTCGAAATGCTGCACTGATTGTTGTTGTTGTTTTACCTGTTGCAACAGCGTCGGCAGCGACTGCACTTTTTTGTTTGATCTTTTCTCTTATTGTAGTCGTGCATCTTCTTTTTTTCTGATGCTGCTGCTGCTGTTGCTGTTGTTGTAGTCCCTTGTTTCACTGTGAAATTTATTGGCGCATATAAATGCCTCAAAATTGATGTTATTGTCATTTTAAGTTTGACCCTTTTCTGGCTGTTAAAATTCTTGCTCATCTTCTTCTGTTCTGTTTTCAGTTGTTGTCCTGCTTTGCTTGTTTTGAAAATTAATTTTTACTTAGATTTTATTGTTTTGTCAAGTTAAGTGGAAAATGACTTTGATACCATTGACTCTTTATTGTCAAAGAAAATGGGCGAGAACAACAAAAAAAAACAGTGGGCGCAGCCAAGTAGGCGTCACAGAATAGAGCAATTTTGTGATGAGAGTGGGAATAAGGGAGGGGAGGGGGCACTACGCTGTTATTCCAATATATGTTAATTTTGCTTGAAGAGGCGTTTAGTAGAAGGGGGGATTAATGCATGCATGTATGTGTGTGTACTTACCTATATATGTAAGCGTGTGTTTCTTCCTCTTATGTATGAATTGCACAATTTTTGGTGCTGTGCTTATGAAAATGTTGGAAAGGCAGCAATGATCACTGGAAGAATCACTGGAATCACACAGGCACAGACCCACACACACACAGACGGACACAATTCAAATGCAGCCGAGGGAAATTTGCGTGTTAAATTGCGGAATGTTCTACGGTCGCGAGAACAGCAACAGCAACAACAACAACAACAAATATTTGTAGACGCATGCGCGTCGCTGCTGCTGCCGCATTCCGATGCAAGGAAGCAAATTAAAAAAAACAACAAGTAAACACACTGCGCGTATCCGCGACTAATTGTTTAAATAACACAGCATTTTCACACAATTTGATGGCAACAAGTTTTGTTTGTTTATTGCAAGACACTAACACAGACACACAGACACACAGCACAAGCAACAATTTTCGCGCACTTCAGCTTTTTTTGTATGTATCTTTTATTGGCTTGAATTTTCCTGCCTGCCCTTTTCGAGAGACAAACGCAGGCGCAAAACGGGCAGCGACCTGTTGCTTCTTTTTTTTTTATCTTTTTCGCACAAACAACTGGCTTATAGTGCGGTGTCTAAAACTAGTTAAAGGAGCGCGTGTGTTAAAAATCTTTGCAATATTATTCAATCGTCAACATTCCGTTTTATCCGCGAACCGACGCGACCGAACCGCTCAAATTCCAACAACAAATTAACTGTTAATACAATTTAACAGCTGTTAACAACAACATCTTGCAGTTCACAACAGCCTCAACGGCGCATAACATAATGTATCGATCGTGGTGTGAGTATCGATAAGTTCACAGTTTGCAGAGTAAATGCATGTGGAATAGTTTAGGCTTAATTTGCGATACATTAAGTCCTATTGTATTAGAAGCATTAATAATAATATTTTCAATAATAATCAGCAGGCTATCTATAACTTTGGCACAAGTTGGCAGCTTCGCAACGATATCGTAAACATAAACAGCTGTTTACGCAAACGGTCACACTGACCAGAAGCAAATTTAATTTTATTGCCATTTAGAAAGCTAGAATAACAATGGGAGTTTGCCGCTTTTTTCAACAAGGTTCCTGCCGCTTTGGCTCCAAGTGCCACAACGAACACTTCGATGTTAGGTAGGTGGAATAAAGTGTCCCATTGAATTTATATAGACTCTGGTTTTTCAGGCATTACCTAAAAACGGATATTGAATCCGGTCTCAATGGCAAAATGTGGCCATTTTCGGTTTATGGACCTTTTAAGGACAAACCCAATTTACCCAACTTCATTGAGGATCAGTCCTTCGAAGAGGTGCGTTTGCAAGCGTACGAAAGTCGTCGCCAGAACTGCTTCGAACAGTTCCACATGCAGTTCTCCAAGGAGGTGCATGAGGCAACCAACAAAATGAAGCTGCTGCTGCAGACAACGCCACAAACCATCGACGTGATGATCAAGCTCTACGAATTGCCCGAATCCGCCAACCAGCCAGCAGCCAATGTCAATAGCAATCCATTTGGCTACGTTGCCAACGCTTCCGCTCCCGGCTCCGCTGCTGCTGTTCAGACGCCTGTCTCTATTTTCAGCAAGCCCACGTTGAGCGCCAGTGGTGGCAATATTTTTGGTGGCGCTGCTGCAACCAACACCACCAACACCAGTGGCGGTACCAATAGTTTCTTTGGCGGCAACACGGCAACAAATACAAATCTCTTTGGAGGTGCAACAAACACAAATATTTTCGCCCAACAACAGCAGCAACCACAACAAATATTTGGACAGCAGCAGCATGCGCAGCAGGTGCAACCTGGTGGCATCTTTGGACAGCAGTTGCAACAGCAGTCGCAGCAGCAGCAGTCAAATCTGTTTACATCTGCACAACCAGCAACGAATCCATCGCCCTTCGCCTTTGCACCACAACAACAACAGCCACAAGTTGGCAACATTTTTGGCCAAGCTGCTATGGCGCCACCAACAAATACGAGCAGCATATGGCCTAATGGATTCTTTGAGCAGGCAACGTTAGGGTCAGCGCAGCAACAACAGCAAATGCAATCGGAGGCGCCACAACAGATGCAACAGCAACAACAACAAAAACCAGATGCAAGCACTTCCTGTGTATATAGTCGCCTGGAGGATCTAACGCCCGAGGAGATTGCGGCATTTAAAGCCGAACAATTTTCACCTGGTCAGGTGCCATTTAAGCCACCTCCTCGCGAGCTGTGCTGAGCCACATAAATCCTTACAAATTACAGATAAAACGAACTAATATTTTAATTGCAAACTTAAACTACAAATATAAGAAATTAAAGTAAATTAAATTAACTGAATATTAGTGCATCATCATGTTTAGGCGCTCCATATTTATGGAGTAGACGGCATGGGAGCCGATAAGATTGCGATCGCGAAACGTGTGCTGGCAATCCTTGAGCGTAATCACAGTTCGCTCGCAGGAGGCACTGAAATATATATAAGTATAGATGTAGATATAGAGATCGATTGCATGATCAACTTACACTTGTTCGCAGGCGGAGAGGAAGACAATGTCATCGTTTTGTCGCCGCATAAAGTTGGCCGTGTTTAGCTCCTTGTCGTGCTCCAGCGGCGTATCGTCCACCTTCTGGCGGGTGACCGTGTTGCGCAGCGAAGGATCTCGCAGCTGGGCGCCCACATCATAGAAAAAGTTACCCTCACCGCTCGTTTTGTAATGTTTACGTTTCATAATGATCGCTGCGAGCAGATCCTTGAGCAGCACCTGCACAGCCATCGCCACATACTCGGCCACACTGTCATCCACTGAGATTAGACCGATTTCCCAGGCGCCAATGAGAAAACGACCCATAATGAAGCCAGCGTCGGGCAGAAATAATTCCTGAGCGCAATAGCGTTGCATGGGCAGCTGCTGTTGCTGCTGCTGCTGTTGCAGTCCCTGATCCGCACCGGCCAGCGTGGGCGGGCGTATCAGCTGCATATTGTCCTCCTTGACGAACTCGAGCACATCACACAGCTCAAAGTGATTGCGATAGGCAAAGGTGCGCGAGCTGCGCTTCCGCTTGCGGCTGGTGCTGCCGCCACTGCCACTTACATTGCCCGTGGGGCACGTTGACTGCAGACTGACAATGGTTTCGGGAGGCGCAAACGCATCGATTTTGTTGAGCAACGCCAGCAGGAATTGATTGTGCAGATGCAGTTTGTCTGGCGTCATAATTTTTCGAGATTCGCAATCGAATTCCTCTTTGGTCCAGCGGTTGCGGAACCAGTTTTTCATATTCGCCCGGTAGCGCTCCCAGTTATCACCCAGGGCCAACGCTAGCGCCTCCTTGGTCAACAGAACTTTATCGGTGAGCGTATTCATCTTAAAAATCTTTGCTTTTTGGCTGTTTTTATTTTTATTTTTCTGTGTTCATCAAAAGCCGTTATCGATTATTTCGCACTCCCTAAGCTGACTATCGTGTCAATGGTCACCCTTAAACGATTAGCATATTATCCGTTAGTGCGCTCGTAGCTGTTGTTATTTTATGTGACTATCGACTATTTTATGCGGTTGTTGATTATTGCTCACTCGATAAGGGGGCTATTATGGTCACCCAGCACATATGCTCACGATACCAAACAATAACACGCTACAATAATGGAGGTAAATATACACATTATTCTTATTATTTACTCTTTGCATATCAACAAAAATGTCATTTGTAGAAATCAAAGAAGTCAAAGACACCCAAGAAATCAAAGGAGAAGGCACTAGTTGTGAAACTAATTAAAACACAGAGCAAACACAAAGAAGTCAGCCGCGTGCTGAAACTGAAGCATGAAATTCTGCTCAAATCGGAAGTCTCCTATTTAGAATATATTGAAATGCGCTCGGAACTGGAGCGCCTTAATGCACTCAAGGAGACATTTGCGCGCCGCCTGGAAAAATTAAAACAATTGGCTAAATAGTTAATTCAATCAATTCAACAAATTTATATTTTTAAGCTTAACTAGATTTAAAAATAAAATTTTACGCCGTCAGCTTGACGTTAGATAAAGAATCTTCGAAAGCTTTCCACATGCGCTCAAATTCCATTTGGAATTTGCTGCCTAAATAGCTGTCAGATGTAATAACGCAATTCTCCCAATTCCCGCTGAATCCCTGCATCGTCCAGTTAATTGAACCAAAAACTAACACACTTCGGTAGGTAGACTTTCTCTTGCCATCTCGAGTTCGCAGGATTTCCTTCACCCGCGTTGAATTATCGATGACCATGAATTTGTGATGCATCATGGCCGTTGTATCCGGGGCACGGATCTCAATCCCCAATTTGCTTAGTTGCGAAATGCGTGCGCCGGATGAACAATTCATTTCGTGATCGCTGATCAGGCGCACAAGGACACCACGGATCAGTGCCCGATCAATGCTCTCCATCAGATCGTGCAGGGTAAATATGTACATGGCTATATCGATTGAATATTGCGCCCGATCGATTTCATCGACGATAGATTGCAGCTGCCGCTTTGAGCAATAATCGTTTTGACACTTGAAAGACGCATCCTGAAGATGACTCGATTTGCATAATTCACTGGATTCATTGAGAATGAGAACGTTGATTTGATTGATTTGATTTCGCAGTCGATAATTTTCCATCTGGTTGCACAAATATTTTGTGGCGATCATCATTAATTTGGCAAACGCTGCACCGGCAGCCGCTGAGCCGGCACAAATTGCGAAGGCGGACGAACTGTAATCTGAATTTCGTTTCAATTAAATCCATTTTGCAGTTATTTTAATTACTCACTATTTGGCCCAAATATGTCTTTTAAGCTGTCAACTCCCATCTTTTTTTTTGGTATTATGGTTTTGTGACGTACCAATGTGAATCTTACATACTACTGTAAATCACTTTCGGTTCGAAAGCATTATCGATATCGATAATGCTGTAATATCAACGCTTAACAGCGGCTCAAATTGGCATTCTAACAAGCATTCGAAAGAATTTAGAGTAATATTATTTGTTTGCAATGGAAATGGATGATGCGACTAAGCTAATTCAGTGTACTGAGACGAAAAAGTTGCTGGAGGCGCGTGAAGCGGCGTTGACTAATGTCCTGAAGCTAAAAGTGGTACTGAATGAGGTGCGCAGCTTAAAAATTGGAGCAGAGAACCCAGAAATCGAGCGCGCTCTCAAATTTGTGTCCGTCACCGATCACATTCGCCTAGGCGAAAATCAGAATCACTTGCTTGGTAAGCCGCAAGTAGATGCTGCATTTATCAATTATGTATATTTCCTATTTACGTTCACTTCTAGGCTTGCAGGAGTGCAGCAGTGGACCGCCACTCAGTTACACTGACAGAAAAGTTGTGCGTGATAAACTGGTGGCAAATCTGCGTGCTATTCTCCCTCCAATCGCTCAGTTGGGCGACAAGATACGAACGGAGTTGCCAGATGCATTACGAAAGGGAGACGATTTGCAGCTGACAACACAACAGGAGGAAATAATTCGTTTGCAGAAGGAGCAGCGTGCTTGCTTAGAGAAATTGTCGGCGTTACTGCATCAGAAGTGTGTGCTGATGATGAAGGCGGCAGATTTGAAGATGGGTCCACAACTGGCCAGTGAGCTGAAGCTGCGGCAGGCGCAAGCGCAATTAAAACAAACAAAGGCGGAATTGCTGCGCAGCTTTATGATCGATCAAGTATTCTCGCAAACGGATAACAGTCTGAAAGCCCACCAGGAAGTCGACAAATATCTCAATGAATTGATATCACAAAAAATAAGAAAATAAATAATATACACAATTAACTTAATTAAATATACATATAGGCATAATAAACTAATTAAATAAATAGTTTTTGCGACGCGGTATTTTATTCAAACTTGCGATTTTGGTATTAATTGAACGAGGTGGCAACACTGCCTGTCACCACAAACAAAAAATAAGGCAGACGGCGTCTGGCGCCATGGCGGAAAACAGTTCCAGCGATAGCAAAGAGGAGCAGTCGACGCAGCAAGATGCATTCCCGCTGGAGGAGACAACACCGGAAATAGCCAGCACGGCTGCACTACTGGGCAGCAGCATTGATTTCGAGGACACTTTGTCCGTCGACTCGGCGAGCGTTTTTAGCACAACGACTACGACAACAACAACAACAACGCGCAGCAAAAGCAAATCGCCAAACACACGAAAGCTGCGCAAATTGTGCCGGCGGGTGAAGGCGCCCAAAATGGTGCAGCCGCTGTTCAAGTACAGGTAGGAGTAGACTTATATATATATATATATATATATATATATATATATATAATATATATATATATATATATATATATAATAATAATAATTGATTAAATCTCTTGTGCAGCTATCATGTACGTGAGGATCACAATCACCAAATCTTTGGTGTGCAATTTAATCCCTTTCTGGATAGAAGTCAAGCGGTATTTGCAACGGTTGGCAAGGATCGCGTCTCCATCTATGAGTGCCTCAAACGAAATACTTTGGATGCCGAGTCGGAGGAAGGAGAAGTCGGCATACGTCTGCTGCAGGTCTATGCGGATCCGGATGTAAGTTGAATCCATAGAACAGCTAAAGAGTTTCTCTATTTAAGATCAACTCTGATCTTTTGCAGACCGATGAGAGTTTTTATAGTTGTGCCTGGTCCTATGATACGATTACGGGTGATCCAGTGTTGGCGGCAGCTGGATATCGTGGCGTCATTCGTATCTTTAACATAATTAAGCATCAGTGTGCCAAGAACTACATTGGACATGGGCATGCAATCAATGAGCTGAAGTTCCATCCGGTGCTGCCGCAACTGCTGCTCTCCGGCAGCAAGGATCACTCGCTGCGCCTGTGGAACATACAGACGGATGTTTGCGTGGCCGTCTTTGGCGGCGTCGAGGGTCATCGAGATGAGGTGCTGTCGATTGACTTTGATTTGCGCGGAGATCGCATCATGTCCAGCGGCATGGATCATTCGCTTAAGTTGTGGCGCCTCAACAAACCGGACATTAAGGAGGCCATCGAGCTGAGCTCGAGCTTCAATGCCAGCAAAAATACAGCCCCCTTTCCCACCATCAAGGAGCATTTCCCGGACTTCTCCACGCGCGACATTCATCGCAATTATGTGGATTGTGTTCAGTGGTTTGGCGACTTTGTCTTCTCGAAGTCGTGCGAAAACTCAATAGTCTGTTGGAAGCCTGGCAAATTGTCCGCTAAGGTGCATGAGATCAAGCCTCAGGACTCCACGACCGTCCTGCATCATTTTGACTACAAAATGTGCGAAATTTGGTTTGTGCGCTTCGCATTTAATGCGTGGCAAAAGGTGCTGGCACTTGGCAACCAGCTGGGCACAACGTTCGTCTGGGAGCTGGACTCCAATGATCCGAACCTGACCAAGTGCAGCCAACTGATGCATCCCAAGTGCACATCGACAATCCGACAAACTTCCTTCTCCAAGGATGGCTCCATTTTGATTTGCGTCTGCGATGACAGTACCGTTTGGCGTTGGGATCGTATCAATTAAACAGCATTTTCTACAATATTTCATATACATTAACACTGATATTTATACAACTATTTATATTTATCCACCAGTAATGTTCTAAACATGCATTTTATAAATACAATTTCCTTGATTTCCACGATTTTTAAACTTGTTAATATACTCGATATTTTGTGGAGGTTTTCCGATTGGTCACTGATAAATACATGGCATTGCTTCGCAACTCTTCTCGTACAGTGTTGCAAAAACCTTAAAGCATAACAAAAAAGAAGGCGAAAACGTTTATGAATTGTAATTGATAAAAGGTTTTCTTGGCTGCAAAATGGGCTCATCATCGGGTAAAAAACACAAAAAGGATAAGAAACACAGCCATCGCTCGCGCTCCCAGGAGCGACCAAATCGCAGCCTGGACGAAGAGGTCACACTGGATTTGACAGACGACTTGTCGTCAACGCGACAAAAACACCACAAACACAAAAAGCACAAGGAGCATCGCCACAAGCATCACAAGCACAAGGAGCGCGAACGGCCCAGCGAGGTCATCTCCCTCGAGGAATCGGACTCGGACAGTAAGTGCTTAACTTGGTGTAGCCCAATCCTGAAGGGTAAATTGAGTGCCGGGACTGGGAAAGCAAAAAACGATAATTGATTTTCCCAGCTGCAATTTATACCCTGCAATTGCCTTGTCGCTGCACTGATTTGTGTTTGTGAACGCACTAAAGCATTGTTGTTCTCTGCTCTCCATTTCTTGTTATTGCAGGTGGCCAAACTGTGAGTGTGAGAGAAGAGTGTAACAGAGCAATAAATGCAATAATAAAAGTCGATTTTCCGTGTCTGTGTGCGTTTGTACTAAGTTCATAAATCTCTTGCAGGTTCCGACTGTGTCGAGGTGCCCGTGGAGCAAGAAGCCAGAGCAAAGGCACGTGAGCATCCGGTACGAGAAACTGAAACTGCTCGGGAACGAGAGCGCGAGCCATCTATTCGGGAGAGGGAGCGAGAGCGAGAGCCGCCTATTCGAGAGCGGGAGCGAGAGCGGGAGCCATCTATTCGGGAGCGAGAGCCACCTGCTCGGGATCAGGAGCCACCTCCTCGGGAGCGAGATCCACCGGCTCGGGAGCGTGATCTAGAGTTATCAGCTCCGCCACCACCGCAAATCTCAAAGCATGTGGACTACGAGCGCGAGCGACGCCGCGAGCGTGAAACAGATCGCGAACGCGAGGCACGCAAGCGAGCGGCGAGAGACAGGGAGCGCGTGCGAGGACGATCCCGATCACAGTCACCGCCAGCACCAGCTGCGGGCAGTCATCAGCAGCGCTCGCAGCGTGGCAACAGGGAACGGGAACAGCGCGAGCAAGGACGGGAAAGGGAACGGGAGCGAGAACGTGTGCGTTCCCGCAGCCATTCGCCCATACCGGATAATGGAGCTGGGGATGTGCTCTCCATTGCCGAGACTAATAAATTGCGTGCCAAGCTGGGGCTGAAGCCATTGGAAATGGATACGGGTCCCAGTAAGGCAACGTCAACCAGCAGCAGCAGCAATCAGCAAGAAAGCAAAAAATCCGGAATGGAAAAGGATCTCTCGTCGTACAAGGATGAGTGGGGCGAGTTTCTGCACAAGCCAGCGGATAACATCAAGGAGAAGAAGCAGGCCGAGAAGTTGCGCGAGAAGCTCAAGCAGAGCAAGGAGAAACGTTTCCTCGAGGAGCGTTTGGCACGCATTCGGACCCTGGGCGAGTCCGACGAAGAAACGGACAATGTGTCCAAGTGGGTCGATCGCAACAAGCGTGTCGTCAATGAGCGCGAGGAGGCGCTGCGCAAGGTAAGCTCAAGCAACATATCTTGAACTGGGGCAACTAATTCTTGTGTTTCATTTTGCAGGCCAAAGAGCTGGAGGAATTGGATGAGGCGTTTGGTGTCACGGAGCTAATCGAGCAGGAGACGAAAAAGGCTCGCCAATTGGCCTACGCCGATCGGAATTTGAAGGGTCTGCGCGTTGAGCATGATATGGATGATTTTGGTGAGGGTCGCACGGTTATATTAACGCTCAAGGATCAGGATGTGCTCAATGAGGAGGACGGCGACACTCTGGTCAATGTCAACATGCTCGACGACGAGCGCTATAAGAAGAATGTGGCGAACAAGAAGCTCAATCCGCTAAGCTATGGCTACAACGTCTATGAGGAACAATACGATGAGCTTGGCAATCCCATTGAGCGTTCCATACTCGAGAAATACGATGAGGATGTCGAAGGACAGCCCCAGAAGCGCAAGAACTTTGTGATTGGCGAGAATTTGAATGAGGAACGCGAGCACAGACGTAAACTGCTCGAAATCAAGACGAAATTGGCTGGCAAACACTTGGAAACGCTGCAGGATTCGAATGTGAAACTGGCATCAGATGTTTTCAGTGCTGAGGAGCTGGCAACGTAAGCCTTAAATCTAATTAATAATTATTAATAATAATTAATTTCTTGTTTATTTGACACACAGTTTTAAGAAGCCAAAGAAGAAGGTTAAGAAACTGCGCCAGAAGCTAAAGGCCGAGGATCTGGAACCAATTGCTGAATTGCCGAGCTCCTCAAATCTGGGCAGTCGCCATGGACGTTATCGCGAAGCAGACGACGAGGACGTTGACATGAAAGATGATTCAAAGTCGCCTCAAATTAAGCTGGAGGAGGATGATTATGATTTGGAACGTGTGCTCTGCAAGGCACGCAGGCTGAAGCAGAAAGAGAACATCATCAAGAAACCGATGCCCATCGATGTGGCAGCCATCAAGCGTGACATTAAGCCCGAGCCCTCGGACGAAGCTAGGAACTCCGATGGAGTGGAGCTCACCGGCATCGACACTAATATTGTGCTGAATGCGACGGCGGAGTTTTGTCGGACATTGGGCGATATACCTACTTACGGCATGGCTGGCAATCGCAACGAGGACTCCAGTGATATGCTGGACTTTGATAAGAACGAAGCGTTGGATGAGCATATGGATACAAATCTGGAGGAGCCAACATTGAATCACGGCACATGGAATTCGGTTAATCCAGACGAAGTTATGCAGCCAGCCGATTTAGATAATCTGGGTGATGACATCGAGGAACGTGCGATTTTGGATGAGGAGCCCGATGTGGGTGCGGGCGTGGCGAATGCTCTGCGCCTCGCCCTCTCCAAGGGCTATTTGGAGAAGGAGGAAAAGAATCGACCGAGTAACACAAAAATGGCTCATCTGCAGGCCAAGAACTATTCCATCGAAGACAAAGCTGCTGGGTAAGTCAATTAACTCTACTCACATGTGTTGACTCAAATTTCAAATGGACTTTTTTTGCGTTTCCTTAGTGAGGACGACAAAATCGGACGTCGCGATCGTTTTCATGCTGGTCCCATTATGGACTTTAAGGACAAGGAAACGTTTAAGCCCAATGTCAAACTAGATTATATCGATGACAATGGTCGCATCCTCAATCTTAAAGAGGCTTTCCGTTATCTTTCGCACAAGTTTCACGGCAAAGGACCGGGCAAAAACAAGATTGAAAAGCGTCTCAAGAAAATGGAACAGGATGGCGTAAGTTAATACCATATCAAATTGAAGAACCTTAATGTTATATGTTTTCATATCTTTTTGAATGGCAGCTAATGAAAACGATGAGCTCTACGGACACTCCATTGTGCACACTGACCATGTTGCAGCAGAAGCAAAAGGAAACCAAAACGCCATATGTGGTGCTCAGTGGCAGCAACAAGAACAACGCTGGCGTTAGCGGCGCCTCAATTTCAAAGTTTAAGTAGAGCAAAAGCGCTGAACACAACCAAATGCAATAGTTACTTCCAAAATTACAAACTAAATGCTTATCGTAGTTGATATACACATAAGTTTAGAATTCAGAACCATACAAACCGCTAATATTTAAATCGCATATTTATTGCAACTTAACAATATACAATATATACTAATTATCCAATCCAAACAGCAGCCAGATAGTCCTTAGAATACTTTTGTTGAAAATGATGAATATTTTTCTAAAAAAGATTATAATTAAGGTTTTTAAATTTGATTTCGCAAATTCAATTAAAATTTGTGTTTTAAATATTGCTCAGTCGACTAAACTGGTTATCAAGAGTTGTATAAACATTAGAAACTCTCCTAAACGAAATCATGCATTTGCTTTGGATAAATAAACAATAAATATTTTAATTCTTATGCACAATTAATAACTTTCTTATGTATTAAATAAGACATCTTAAAAGAGATGGGAACGAAAGATATAAGCAACAATCTGGAAGTGTCTTCAGAACGTCAGGAAAGAAATAATATAATATAGACAAAAATTGGAACAGCTTTTACGAAAGATCTGTCATCTACATTTGCAGGCAGATTAAAAAAATATCTAAATATTATTGTTATTACAATCAGTAAATTCTATAGCTGGATATTTGGTCATCTTTCCAAGGGAGTGTTAAATTCCTGATCCAGAAATCAGCGTAGTTATGTAGATCGGTGCGTCGCCTCTGTTAAGTGTCACTATAAAGATAAGTTGAGTGTTTTTAAAGCTTTCCCAGCTTGAGCAAAGAACATAGTTTTACCATTAAAGTTGCTGTCCAAGATTGTGTGACGATCTCCCTGGATTAACTCAAAGCGCTGATCCGCCGTACTCGTACAGTTCAAGCTGGAGCTGTTGTACTGAAAACGCCAGCTGCATTCGCTGTGTGCAAATCGCATAAACTGGATCTGCACCTGGTCCACCTGGGGCGGCACATTGGCAACTTTGAGCTGCAACTGGGATGCGTCTCCGACACGGACAAAGTTGAGGCCACCATAGCCAAAGATGAGGGCTTGCAGAAAGCCACCGATGCCAGTCAGAAAATTCGCTGAGCCCTCAAAGCCAATCGTTGCCTCGCTCCACACCTTGAACTCGGGATGCACATAGTTCTGGTAGCCACGCGTAAAGAATTCATGGGCACGTTCATTCTCACTGGTGGCCAAATAATTGGCAGCAAACATCGACCAGGTCATTGCCGGACCAGTTTCCCGCGTTACATTCTCATAATAGTGTAAATCATTCAGATGAGTGGAACTAAACAGATCTCATTGAATAACATTTATTTGAATGCAATAAGGATACACACCTGGTGTCGAACTGCAATGGATAACCAAGTAGGATTGTATCCGCTTGCTTCACCGTCTCATTTACCTTGTAGCCCAAATGCTGTGGATGGTAATCCAGATCTACATCATGTAGAATTACAAGTTGATCCTTAAGCTTGCGCCATTCCTTGATCAGCTCTGTGCTGCTGCTGTTGCCACACTTGCCGCCCAGCCATGCGGCAAAGTCTAAGGCTATCTTGGCCACAGCATTGGTGTACACGTTGTCATCTACATTGGCATGATCCTCATCCGGTCCCATGATGTTGAGGAAGTGACACAATTGCTTCGTTGACTCACAGCTTGACCGGCTGACCAGGAACTCGGCCACCTCGGCAGCAATGGGCCAGGCACGTTCACATGCCCAGGCATGGTCATTGGTCTGAGCAAAGAACTGCTGCAGCGCAAATGATATGTCCGGCGAGATGTGGATCTCCTGTTCAGCGATTTCGGGGCAACAGGGATGGGTTACCTCAGCCCCAGTGTAGGCGCTTTCCCATGGAAATCTATCAGGGAAAATAGTTATGAATGTTTTTGCGACTGGTGGAGAACTGAAACTCACCTGGCACCTTTGTTGCCTCTCACCTGGGCATTGATTCTGGCGCCCTCCAGATGTCTGAAGCGATAGTCAAACAGCTGTTTGCCGTACTCATAACCTAATTGGGTGGCTACTGGCAGCATCCAAATCTCCGTGTCCCAAAAGTTATGTCCCTGGTAGTCCGCCGGCAGATTGCCGCGTGCCAAGCCCGTGGGACTTAGGCCGTAGTAGGGTTCATTCGCCTGATTGCTGCTCAGTGTTGGCAAGGAGCTGGCCAAATAAAAGATGCCTGCGTTCACAATGCGCGACAGTTCCAATGCATCCTTGCCCATCAGTTCAATGGAGAACTGCTTATCCCAGAAATCATTCCAAACCTGTCGATGACTTTGCAGAACTGCCACGTCCTTCAGCTGGAGCACATCCTGCAGTTCCTTGAGTGCCACACCTTGCTGGCGATCCATGCAAATTATGATGCGATGTTGCAACTCTGCTTGCCACGTGGGCCAATTCAAATGACGTGGCTGCTCCAGCGACTCACTGAACAACACGTAAATCTCATGAGGCTTTGGTTGTAGCTGCTCAAATTCCAGTACCTTTGTGCGTCCGTGCAGCACGCGATAATCTCCAGGAGCATCGCTTCCATTGTTGAGCACCACAAAGTCAAAGGCATCGCTGGCGCTGCCCGGCTGCTGTGTTATCTTTAAGTACAAGGGCGCTATAAGTAAGTATAACTTATTAATAAATAATAATTCCTCAAATTGAAAATTTAGTAATGTTACTAAAATAAGTAGAAAACATTTTGTTATTTAAATATTTTTTTAAGACTAATAAATAATATTGCCTAATAATAAAAACAACAAATTGTATTTAACTATGTGCAAATAATTTTGATTAAATTTGTTGTTGTTTTTTAATTTTTAATTTTTTGCAAAAATAGAAAATGAAAATTTATATTTAGTTTTTAAATATGTTTTCTAAATATTATGGTACATTCCTAGCTAAGAAATATATGAATATTTTTCAAAATGCTTCTTACATATTATCGTTTTTAATTTTCGACAACATGCCTTATTAATTATATATTCGTATTTCCTTTTCAAAGAAAAGTGTTAAAAGCTCAACATTTTCTACAATAGATTTACAAACTTCATCAGTGGTGCATAGCACATTTCCTACTTTTTATTTGCATTTTTTTAGCACTCACAGTCAATTCGTAGAACTGTTGTATGCCTGAAGGCCAAAAGTTCATAGACCAGCGCTCGATTGTAATATCGATGTGGATATGTGCGCTGTTCCAGCGTGATTCCCTTGGATGCATAATTTGTTCTATACCGGAAGTAGCCATCGCGCAGATCCATCTCATAGCTGATATCATTGCTGGTCATACAGCCAAAGCGATCACATAGCTCGGCACTTGTATTAATCCAGTTTGGTATTCGTGCTCGTTTGCTATTCCCAGCAGCTCCATTATAGACACCATTCATAAAGATGGCATCCCCAAAAATGGTGTAACCCAGATGACCGTTGGATAGACTCGGCATAAAGTTGAGATCTTTGGGCAGGCTGAAAGGTTAAGAATGGAATGGATATTTTGTTAATTTAATTTCCAAATATGTATAGTCTATGCTAGATTATTACACTTCCAAGAACCACACTCTTTGAAGCTTCGGCGAAAGTTTTTATTTTCCATCATCATAATATACATAACTTTGTCGCTAAAAATGTATTTCTTATTGTGTATAATGTATAATATTTGTACTATTATTTATATATAATACCTGTGTGTCTTTAGAAAGTAACTTTCTGGTGTATCTGCTCCGCAGCTCCAGATGAATCCAATAAACAGAACTAAGTACAGCTTCAACATTTTTTCTGCACATTAATCCAATGCACGAGAATGTCCGAGCAATACTGAATTGTGTTCAGCTGGCTCTTTCAAGTATTGCTGATTAAATTCATTTGATAAGTCTGAGCTCGCACATAGTTTTGTTTTTGTTTCGATTGCTTTCTCTCAGCTCAAGAGCTTTCTTATCAACTATAAGTTGTAATCTCCTTCAATAATAATTATATGTCAATATTAAGAAAAGTTTACAATCTTAATTTGAGAAGTTATTATTATAGCTTTTTCAACTCAAACAATTGAGATAAACTCACGCAATTTAAATGAGTTGAGGCAATGGCTTTGAAACTGTGGACTTTGTAGAGATTTGCGGAATGATTGATTGATGTTTGAAGTTGATCATCAGAAACCCATCAGAAATCTTTTTTCCCTTTGGGAGTAAAGCACAAAAAGAAAAACCCTTTTCGCACATTGTTTGTTATTAGCCATTACCAAAGCCAGTTGCATTCTTGTAATGTCAATAAAAACAACGGTAGTTTGAGTTTTTGTTGCACAGAGGATAGAGAAAGAACGACAGATAGGCAGAAAGAGATAGACTGAGAGAGTGATGGGAAGTTGTAGGATAATTAAAGCAAAAATTAGGCGTGATGCGCAGCGTAAGATGTGCTAATGAATGAAGACAATTATGGGAAAATTCTAATGGCATCAAAAGAAATGTCATTAAACGGTTAACAGACAAGCGCGTTCATTAGATGCTTTTTCCACTGTTACTGTTGCCACTATTGTTTTTGAGCTATGAGGTGGCCCAGGTACCCAGTGAGTACCTGCGTATTTTATTCAATAACACATTTCTTCATCTTTCAAATGCTCCACTTTTGTTTTGGATTTTTTTATACTGTGCATAATTTGTAGCAAAGTATTCTTTTGCAGCTGGGCTAATTATATGGTAGAATTATTGTTGTTGGCGTTAATTACGTGAGAATCTCCACATGCAGCTAAGCTTTGAGACATGCACAAGTGGAAACCATAGAGCCGTAGAGAGGCCGGCCACATACATATACACAGTACGTACGTACTGTGAGTATCTGGAATCAAATTCGACATCGCCCCGATACCATCACCATTACCATTACCATCACCGTACCCATAACCATTCCTTGCTGCGACAGCGAAGCGTAACCAATAGAACAGCTAAGGCAGCACGCCCGTAAGCTGCCCGACTAACTATAACCGATATGGGCTCATGATTTGGCCGCCAGTTGCGTGTGCTCAAGTAGGGGGTCTGCCGGCACCGGGAACCCTTACATCTTAACTTGGCTTACTATCTCAACCTAATTTTAATGACGTTACGCCGCGATAGGTTTTCTGCTCAAGATCCATAAAGAAATGCACAGGTGTTCAGGCTATATGGGCACAGCACCAGGTACAGTCATCATCATCATCATCATCGTTGTTGTTTGTTACTGTTGCTGTTGCTGTTGCTGTTACTGTTGTTGTCGGTTGTCTTCTGCCGCTTTGTGGTTGCTTGGCACGAGATCCGAATCTGGCTCAGATCTATGGGGGTCTGTGATTTACCCTTTGTTTTGCGGCTTTACTTCCTCCCCCCCACAGACGCATTGTCTCTGTCTAGCACGCACCGGTTGTCTCGCTCTACCAATTTGAAATGCTCATGTTGTTCCGACTGTTGTTGCTTTTATTTTTGTTGTTGTTATATGTCAAGAAGTCTATGCAGAGCCTGCCTATCGCGATGTCGTAGCTTACCGAAGCGTAACTGAAATATTAAAACATTTTTTCTTTTTTTTTGTTAATTTTTTTTGCCATTTTGCGCTTGTTGTTGTTGCCGTAGTCGCTGGCCATTTTGTTGGCGGTTTTGGCGTCAGATTTTGTTTTTTTTTTGTGCTCATTTCTGTTTTTTTTTTTTTTTTTGTTAACCTGTTGCCAGAAAAGTCGCGTCGAGAAATTTACGCAACGAAGCGTTGCCAATGAGTTTCCGCTTTTGAGGCATTGGGCATGGGCTTAGTCGTCGTCGCCGCACCACGCAACACTCGCAACACCAACAACCCTGCCACAACAATAACTTTGGCAATGCTTATAACAACAATCATAGTTTCGAGGGGTGCTTGCAATTTTTTTACGGCAGCACAGGAAGAGTTTTGCAGATCAACATACATGTTTTTTTCTTCTTTTATTGCTATTTGTATTCTTTTGGTCAACACTATGAGAATTAATATTTAAAAATAATGCTCTCAGTTTCCTGGTAGCGAAAGCAAGCTTGGATTGGTTGGATGAGTGCGGGATACTCCATGGGAATTTGAAAGCTTGGAGGAAACCCACTCATAAAAAGCTGCACACACTGCTTGGCAAAAATGTTCTCCAGAATAGCTGAGCAGGGATGATGATGTTCCAAAGCATTATTCGAGCTTATCATCTTGCATTATTAATTTTCTTCTCAGCTTACTGATTTTTTTGTAATGATTCTTAAGGATACATCCCGTATACAACATCGAACTCCATTTTTTGAATAACTAAAAGTCAGAACTAATGCAGTTGTTATCCTCATTTTTTATTGTTGAAAATTAATCTAGGATGATGGAGCAAGCATACTTTATTATTAAATCAGAAATTATAGCAACGAACTAAATTTCGACATGTGGGACAGTGTCCTGTAGTAGTGCGAACCGTTTGTAAAACTTATTTTAGAAGAGAAAAGAAATTTAAAACATAATACAATATTTATGACATAATTTTCATATGAAGCATATCTGAAACAGCCCTCGCACAAAAAGAAAAAAAAAATAAATTGAGCGCAAGCATTTGCTCGCTTTTTTTTTTGGCTCTGTGGGTCTCTGAGTGTTTTTCTGCCTAATTTGTGTGTGTGCGCCCCGAAAATGAAACGCGTGTGAAAATTATGTTTATTGTGTAGTAAGATAGTATAATGTACAATGTTAAATTTACAATACATAAATATGTATGGATGTATATACATACATTGTGTGTACTAAAAAGTTGCCAGAAATGATGTACTTTCCCTGGCTTAGGATTGGGTGTTGTCCAACTGCGTTGCGGGCTCCCAACTTTATCTAATTGTTGTAATTTGCTTAGAAATATAATCTTAGTATTTTATTTATTGTGGCAAGATAATTATGATGATTATCTGTGAAAGGGCGTATTTAAATTTGTGTTGTTGCTTTTAAATGGCATTAGGCACTGCAAATGTGCTTCAGCCAGTAGCCTGGGAACCAAGCCCAAGACGACGGCCAGACCACGAGTCCAAGTCCGAGAGCGACAGAGAAACCAAAGCCATCGAGATCGACTTCCAGCAGCGGCGCATTTGCAACTCAATTATGAGCCGAGGCATCTACACAACTACATGCAGCTGACTATTCGTGCAACTCTAGCCGATAATTTGCATTATTTGTGTGCAGCTCACACACAGGTGGCTCTAGTGGAGTGGCCACCTGATCTCACGCGTCGCGTGGTCTCGTAAATTACACTATGCAACAAGTTGTCGACAGGTCGCCAGTTGAGATCAGTATTCAACACAAAATGCATAATAATATTGGTGGTTGGAGACAGTTACAGCGGCTGTAAAGAAAGAAAATTCAAAATATTTAATCTATGTTCAAAATCTAAAAATATTAAATAGATGTCATTTTTAGGAACAAAATTTGGCACAGGAAGATGCATTCTTCATGTGGATCGTAGATTTGACGTATTTAACAAGAAAGAACGGCAATTTATGAAACGTCTTCTTCAAGTTATTACGCATCTTACAACAAAATTATAATACCCTCTAGAAAGGCATAAAAATAATTACTAAGAGGTCGTCAAAACATTAAATACTGCTGACATTTAATTTTTTATATTTAACACTTTAAAAACAGTTAAGAAATAAGCTATTTGCAGTATCTCATAAGCAATATTTAACAATTGGCAAATACAAACAAATAAAAAATAGCTCGCGACTTTATCTTTATCCATATCTGAACTACGTGCAGGACATATATCATATTATATGATGTATAGTAATGCCATTGTAAGTGTCCTTAAAGCTCATATTATATTATTTGTTAGCTCGATTATTAAGCAGACTTGGTTGCATAGTGTTGCAAGCGCACCTTTGCTAGAATTTATATTTGTGCAACATGTGTGCAACGTCTGTGACCTCTGTGGAAGCGCTCTTCAATTCAATTACAAACACAATATGCTCGGCACCGATCTGGGTGGACTTGTCTACTCGGGACGGGCAGACAACACTCACACTCGCCATAGATAATTATCAGGATGAGGCGCGGCTTTTGGTCAATTGATATGTAAATTTCGCTTGCAGCACTTGAAATGCGTAAGTCATTCGGCAAGCAACCACCAAAAAAAGAAAGAAAAAAAAGGAATAGGTGGCAACTGCAGCCAGTACACAGGTGCGACAAGTGGCAATGCTTGACTGCTTGCCAATTAAGGTAGGTCAGCAGCAGGAGCGTGAGAAAGTTGACAAGAGCAGGACTCAGAGAACGAACAAAAAATGAGAAGGCTCTTTTTGGTTTTTTGCTATTGTTGCTGTTGTTGTTTTTTCACACAGTTAGTGCGTACAATGCGGTGTATGAGTTATATATTTGATGATGAGGGCACATGCTACTAGCAGCCATTGCTGTAATTTTACAGCTGCTGCCTCAAGTAATGCTAAAGTGCTGAGCACTGGCCAAGCGTAACCGCATAGACTTTAGAATGTATCTGGATTGTATCATAATTTGCTTGAGAGTGGAGAGAGCTAGCGTGATTAGCATTTTCCATGCGGCGGTTTCAATTATTACACCTGTTGCTTGGCCAAGCAACCATAGCAACTATCTCGGGACCCCTTTGGAAGAATTGCGTTGTTCTTGCTGCTGTTGGTTGATGGTTGTTTACTCTTATTTTAATGCATTTTCATAATATAGTTCTGCAGTTTACAAAGCGTGCTTCCTGCTAAGCAAGTTATCAATCATCAGCAACAGTTGTGGCGTGGCCTATGCCTTTGAAAATATCAATACCCAGTGGCCATAGTTAAGGCCGGGGGACAGCGATAAAATCGCTACAGTT